CGAGTGAGCTGGTTGGGGCAGAGGGTCTCACTGCAGAGCGGGCCTGGGGGCCATGGAGGCCAGGACAGTGCGAGAGCAGGGAGGGCCCTGGAGCAGCAGCATAGACGAGTCACTCCCAGCTGTGCCCCTAGGACCACCCTGGGCCCAGCATCCCCTCTGCAGCACAGCACCCCCGGCACCCCCCGGGCACTGCGGCCAGCACTGACCGAGGGGAGTGCACTAGTGACGAGCCCCCACCCTGCTGGCAGCAGCATCCTGGATTCTTTCCCCTGTGTCTCCCCAGACACTGGCACGGGAGGACTCTGCCTAGCTGGTGAGCACGGACCAGGGCCAGCTCTCTGGCACTGCCTGCTGCACGCGCCCTGTCTGAGTTCCACTAGTGCGCCCGGCCCACGGGCACTGCACGGCCCCTACTGATGCTCTTGGCTGGCAGCTGACGCTAGACACATTCGGACTGGAACCGCAGTGCACGGTCCTACCCGGGAGAGCGATGAACCCCTGGGCCAGTTCTCCAGCACTGGCCATTTTTAAAGGAAGCTGGGACGTCGTTCTAGCCCCGCTGCAGGGGGTCAGACTCGACGATCACAATGGGCCCTTCCGGCTTGGAGTCCATGAACACACCTGGCAGTTTCCACATAGCCTGTTTGCAGCTCAAGCAGATGCTACATCCTGGCAGCCTCTGGTCCCGGGATGGGGAGAATTCACCCAACTGCCCGCGCTGGGCCTGAGGCTGGAGCCCTGCCCCGCTGCAAGGACCATGCCCCACAGCTTGACTGTGATTCTTAGGGACAAGGGCAGGCACCGGCCCAGCCTGTTCGGTGGGGGACGCAGGCTTGGGGGATGGCTGGTCAGAGCTCAGAGGGGGTAGATCCAAGGCCTCAGCATGCTGGCCCCATGCTCTCTGCTCTCCCTGTACCCATGGGGTTGCCCCACAGGCTGCAGCATCCAAGCCAGGAGCGGGGTCAGTGATGCCCTTACTGATATCACTGGAGCAGGCTCCCTATAGTGCCCTTCAGTGGGGTGTCTCCCAAAGGAAACAATTGGGATCGTTTAGTGCAGTGCGGCAGGAGAGAGGGACCCACATTCACCAGCGGGGCCACACTGGTAAATTGCAGAACATAAGAACCAGGGTACAGGCCATGAAATCAAAAGGCAACAAAACACTGACAGGAAATATGCTTTTACCCAGTGACAGTTAGCCTGTGGAACTCACTGCCACAAGAAATCTGGGCCCCAGGCTCGGGAGGATTTAAGACAGGATTAGAGGTGTTTGTGGGAGAGAACATCCAGCATTACTGTCAACCGGTGAGAATGAGCCAGGCCATAACCCTACTTCTGGCCTGAGGAATGGGCAGCTGATGGGATCAGACACCCCCTCCAGGTGCCAGGTGCTCCCCTGGGACCACACCAGGGCTTCCCCGACCCCTCCCCCACAGCAGCTGGCACCAGACTTGGCCCCAGCAAGGCGCGGTACCAGGCCAGGCTCCCTGCAGAGCCCCAGCAACGGCAGGGGCGGCAGTATGAGGCAGTGACACCCCTCCGCACCAGCACAACAGGGCCCGGAATGAGCCCCTTACTCCCTCGCAGGGGTCACATCACGGCCAGACCCGGGGGGGGGGGGGCAGCAGCCTGCCCTGCTCAGAGCCCAGGCAGGAATGGACATGGGGCACCAGACAGCTGGACATGGGGGTGCTGACCCTGGACTGATAGACACAGTCCCTCGTCAATGGTCTGTGACCTGGCCTGTTGGTCTGTCAGCCTCCAGCAGCAGTGGGGCTGGTCCCTGAAAGAGGCTGTGGGCAGCTCCTGCCTGTCTGTCCGGTGCAGCCCACACCCCACACCAGTGCGTGGCAGAGGAGGCGATGCCCCGTGCCAGGACAGCTGGGTGGGCTGGGGCCAGTGCTGACAGCAGCACGCAGTAGGCTGCCTTTAGCTCATGGAGACGTGCCCAGGGGCAGATAACAGCAATGGGGGTGGGGACCCAGCTCATGCCAGCCTGGCACCCACTCTTAAAACTCCCATTGGCACCACAGCAGAGCCCCCCCAGGGGCAGAAGAGCCAGGAGGCTGACCAGTGCCAACTGGGAGGGCCTACCCGAGCTAAGCCACCCAGCCACTGCCGGTGCCATCCTGCCCCAACTCTGACTGCTACCAGAACTTGACAGATTCTAGACAGGCCCCGAGACATCACCCCTACAGGACACTCTGAATGTGCTCCAGGGCAGAGCCCCCTCCCCTCCTGCTGGGACAGCCAAAGCCTCCCCTCGCCCCCATGCCTGACCCAGAGCCCAGCCCACCCCTCCCACCAGCAGGGGTCAGGCCCCCAGGAGCAATCCCTACCCAGCACCTCCCTGCAGCTGCACCTAGGCGAGAGCTGCAGGAGACAGGACCAGAGCTGGGGCGAGCAGCCCGAGGGCTGGAGCTGCCACCAGGGATCCTCATCTGCCAGCAGCAACCTGAGCTCTTCCCTGCTGCCTCGGACAGTGTAGCCTGCTTGCTTGCCTGTGTCTCTTTTCTTCTACGTTTCTTAGGGTTTTCATTATTTGTTTTATTATAATAGGCTTATATTAAAGTAGTTTGGCTGTAACGCAAGGGACTTACAGGCCACAGCCTGCATGTTGAGCTAAGACGAAGTTAGCATATATACATCTGGGACCTTTCGCCTAGATAGATAGTAATAAGTTAAAGCACAAGGTCCATACATGGCTGCAACCTTTAACATAGATAGATAAAGAATGTGTTGAAGGAGGTTGGCAGAGGGGCTAAACAGGTGCACTGCAAGAAAGAACCAAAATAACTGGGAGGGCAAAAATAACAAATGTAAAAATAATCTAATGTCATTAATATGTAGAAACATACCAGCCTGTGGAGTAAGTTACCCCAACACTTCGCTGGGTAAGAAAACTAGGTTTAAAGAGAGAAGAAAGGCTCAAGCACCCATGCCCTATAAAAGGGGGTAAACTCACCATGCCAAGGAAGTGTCTAGGCTTCTAAGTTTCTAAGTTTTTTCTGAGCTTGCTTTCTAAATTTTCTAAGCTCCAAGCTTCTTCGTTCTTTGGTTTAAGTCAGTCTATTCGTCTGTAAGTTCTTAATGTTAAGTTTGACGTCAATTAGTTCAGTAAAACTCTAAGTTGGAAGAAGCTAGAGCTAAGAGTTACTGAAGCTAAGCTCTGCACCTCCCATTCAAGAATTAAGAAACCTGAACCTAAACTCTTCGCACGTCAGTCTCTTACCACCAGGTTATCAAGAAAAGGTGTAAGTATATTAATCAAAAGCTTGATAGTATATAATACCATATGTATCTTTAATAGTACTGCATTTGTAATTCTAATTATTTAACCATTTAATTACCATTATTATTCCATTTATCTCACTAAAAGTCTTGAAGACTATATTTGTCTCAGTATAAGCATCTTGTCATACCCCCGAGGGTCCTTTGCAAACTGTGTAGCCTGATTCTGAAACAAAAACCCTATTATCTTCTAATCAGATTAATTGGCAAACCTATAACCAGTATTAGCCAAATTAATAATATTAACCTCCTAAAAATCAGGCAACAGCAGGGCACTGGGCCCCCTGCCTGCAGCTGAGCAGAGCCCAGCCCAGCCCCTCCCTCTACACCCCAGGCAGCTCCTCAGCCAAGCTACCCTGCTCCAGGGACAGCTGCACAGCCCCACGAGCTGCCAGCACCCTGCCCCTCCCCGAGAGAGCCCAGGGCTGGGGGGGCTGTAAGGCTACGGGAATCCTGAACCACTGCGCCAGCCCCCGGGCTGCTGGGGACGAGAGCCACAATCCTCCCCCCCAAAAAAGGGACACGAGACTGAACGAGCAGCAAGTTTATTGACAGTCCAGTGAGAAGCCAGCCCCAGGAATGGCCCCCAGCCCTGCCCCAGTCTCCTTCAGATGCAGCCCCCAGCCAGCCAGTCCTGGGGAGCAGCACAGACAGCTATGGCCAGGGAGGCGAAGGCAAAGCCGGAGCCTGGGGGCAGATGCCAAGCCAGCGCTCAGGCAGGGCCCTGCAGGCCAGCGAGGGCTGGTCTGGGGCAGCGGCACAGAGCAGGGCTGCCAGTGACGCTGCTCAGGGCACTGCCTGACCCAGCTGGCTCCATGAAGAGCATGGCCAGGGCTGCGACAGGCTCAAGGCCTTGTGCACCCACATGGGGGCGGGGGGGAGGCGAGCCCTTTCGCAGGCAAATCGCAAAGACTTCCCTGCTGGAGAAGGGGGGCAGAGACTTGGCACCACCCCAGCAGCGTGCCGGGCCTCGTGCCACCAGAGCATGCATCACAGCTTCGTAGGGCAGAGACCCCGACCTGCAGCTGCTCAGGATTGGCAAGGATCAGCCTGGCCCCACACTGCCAGCACTGCTCAGCAGACATCTGGGAAGAGCTCCCCTGCCCAGGCCTTGCTCAGGTCCCTCCACGCAGGGCAGCTGGGAGCCTTCCCCACATGCCCAGGGCAGCACTGGCACACAGACCACGAGCTCGCCATGACCCCGTTAGCCCACTCAGGGGTCTCTGTACATCACGAGACCCCCACACATTCTACACAGGGGATGACTCAGTCCAAAGACCAGATTGGCTCACACCCAAGAGGTACCAAGCCCTGTTCCCAGGGTGCTGCAGCTTCTCCAGGCTGGGGCATCCGGGGGCAGCGCAGAGTGCCCCATCCACAGCACCACACCCCGTCAGCACCGATGATCCGCTCCAACAGCTTCTGTGACACTCTGAAACCCCTGCTCCCTAAGCCAAGAACAAAACAGCAGTGAGCACTTCCACAAGGCCCAGCCCAGCGCTCCCACCCCCAGTCCAGGAACAGATCCTCCCTATGCTCCGGTCTCTGTCCTGCACGAACCGCAGCACAGAGAATAGCTCCGCTTGCAGCGCAAGCCTGCTGGACCCGTGGGTCACAGCTCGCAGCATCCCAAGGCATGGGGCCTGCAGGACATTGCCCATGGCAGCAGCCAGCGAGAGCCCTCGCCGGGCCTGGTGCTTGTTGGCCTGAGGCCTTTCAGACCCAGCAGCTCCCACACCACTGGGGACACTGAGGCACGGAGCCATGGGTGTGACGGAGGCCCACCTCCTCGTACACAGAGCACTGCTGGGGAGCAGCCCAGCCCCTCACTCACCTCAGCAGCACCTCCAGTTCCCGTTTCACCACCCCCACCACAGGGGGCCCCTGGTAGGTGAGCGCCGTGTACATCTGCACCAGGGAGGCCCCGGCCCGGATCTTCTCCAGCGCGTCCTGCCCGCTGCTCACCCCGCCCACGCCGATGATGGGCACCTTCCCTAGGAGAAGGAGGGGCATTAGAGGCGGATGGAGCACCTGGCCTGGGGTGGGCAGAGCGCCTGGCATGGCTCTGCCCGGTGGGGCGGCAGCACCGTGTTACCTTGGGTGAGGGAGTACATCTCGCCAACCGTCTGCGTGGAGAGTGCTCGCAGGGGCCGCCCGCTGAGGCCACCAGGCTCCGCACGCAGGGTGCCACGCAGGCTGCTGGGACGGCTAGTGGTGGTGTTGGTGACGACCAGCCCATCCACACCTAGCTGAGACACCGAGGGCACATGATGGCAGCAGAGCTCCAGGCCCCCTGCCGCCCTCCTGGGGGCACCAGAGCTAGGGGGGAGTGAGCAGCAGAAGCCTGTTGGCGACCGGCTGCCCAAGCAGCCAGGCGCAGCAGCCACCCCCAGCAGCCAGAGCCAGCGGCTCCTGGCAGGGGCTGGGGAGAGCCTGCCCCTGGGTGCAGCCGGTCAGGATTGACACACGGCCCCATTGATCTCCCGCCCTCTGGCCAAAGCCATTGGACTGCAGCCTGCTCCGTGCCCCAAGCTGGAGCTCCTGGCTGGGACGCCCTCCCCTTGTTCAGCCTGCACTTCTCCTGTCCCAGCCCCTTTCCCCTAGTGCCTCCCCGGGGCTACCACCTCCCCCTTTCCCTTCCCTCTCCCCTGAGCTCCCGAGTCTGCCCTCCTTCCTCGGGTACTGCGAGGCCTGCACTGGAGCAGCGGGAGCCTCCCCAGAGCTACCTGCCCCCCACCTCGGTCACCACACTGGCTATGTCCTGCTTGTCCTGGGCAGTCAGGTCAGGGGCAATCTTCACCAGCACAGCCGGCTTGTGCTCACACCTCAGGGCATCCCTCTCCTCCAGCACCTGCAGGGACACCAAAGCCAGGAGCTGCTGCAGCGAGCGACATGCCAAGGGAGACACCCACAGAGCCCCAGCAGCCACCCTGCAGCCTGCCTCCCACACTGGTGTTACGAAGGCCTGACGAGCCGGGTGGGGGGCACCAGCGCCCAGGGAGGAAACGGAGGGGGTATGTCAGAGCAGCACAGAGAGGTCTCTGGGGAGCGGGGGCCCCCCCAGAACAATCCCAAAGGCACAGCCAGAATGGGGGCAGGGCAGAGACACAGACAATGCTGCTGCCTAAGGCTCAGCAAGGAGGAAGCACAAGGGAGCAGAGTGTGGCCAGCTCACAGCTGGTTTGCGGGGGGGGGGGGGGGAGGGAGTGGGGGGAGGGAAAGGGAAGGAGGGAAGCCTGGCATGAATCCCCTCCCTGGGGCCAAAGCACAGGCCCCCCATGCCTTCCAAAGCGAGACACCCAACCCCCCACTGAGTCCCAGCTTCCTGCCCATCTGCTGCTCTGCAGGGCTCCCCGCCCCCCGTCCCAGAAAACGGCCACCTCTGGCTCAGACAAGCGCTGCGAGAAAGGGCTGGCAGCCAGGCAGCGCCAGCCGGAGCAGCGAGGGGAGCACCCGTCACCGTCATACTGCACCGAGAAACACTGGGGTAGGTGCCACAGGCTGGCCTGGGACAGTTGTGTCTGACGAAGTGGGTATTCACCCACGAAAGCTCATGCTCCAATACGTCTGTTAGTCTATAAGGTGCCACAGGACTCTTTGAGGCTGGCCTGGGACAGTTACCCACCTTGGCCAGCAGGCGGCGCAGCTCGGCTTTGCCCTGCAGGTCCCGCAGCCCCGGCGTGTTTGGACTGGACACGTTCACCACCAGGTAGTCGGCCAGCGGGCCCAGCGTCCGGACCCCATCCACATAATCTGCCGCAGCATCTGCCGAGCCCTTGTTCTTACCCAGGTTTATTCCGAGGGGCATCCCAGCTGGAACACACGTGTCCCACTCAGAGAGGCAGGAGGGCCGGCCTTACCGCCTGTCCGCAACCCCAACCAGGCCACTCCAGAGAGGGCACCACGGCTGGAAGTATGTGCCCTACTAGCTGCTGCTGGACCAACCCCTGTACCAACCCCTGGATGCGCCAAGCCCAGGCCGGGCGCCGGGCACGCGGCTGTGCCGGGCCAAGTTAGACAGAGAGTCCAAACGCTGGCAGCTGCTCTGCACTGATGCCAGCACCATGGCTAGCCGAGGGTGGCCGTGCTGGTGCCAGACCAACGGCAGAGAATTCCCTGCACTCACCAGACCCACAGCACTACCCCACCCCTGATGCACAGGGGTCCCAGCGCCCGCCCCCTGCTGGGGAGCGCAGGAATTGCTGTAGGTCACACCCCCACACGTTGGGCTAGCCAGGGTCCCCATCCCCCTCCAAAAGCAGGTAGTAGTGGCCAGTGCTGAAGGCTTGAGACTCTCTGGACGGGCAGTTACGGAGTGGCCTGTTATGAAATGGCAAAGCTCTCCCGAGCCATGGCCTGTTGGCTCATGCCCTGAAGCAGGGGCAGCCACCACCCTTATGGCCTTCCTTGTTATCCCAACATCAATACTCTTCTGAATCCCATCACGCCCTCAGCGCTATCTTGTGACAGTGAGTTCCACAGGCTAACAACTGACTGCTATAGCACTCTTCCTTGTAACCTGGTTAAGGATCTTCATGACAGCAAGGAGCTTTACCTTCCGTGAGCTGGAGCTGCACTCCCTGCCGGGCCCGAAGCCTACGCTCCATGGCGGCATGTCCATGGCTGTTAAAGCCGTATCTGCACGGGAACAAGGAGAGGTGTCAGCGAGTAGCACAGAGCTGGACTAGAATCGCTCCCACCCAGGAACAATATGCCAGGGAAGGGAGGTCCTCGGTCTCCCTGTGGGATGCAGGGGGCTGCTGGCTGCCACGCCTCGGGCCACAAGACACTTACCTAGAGGGGGAAGCTGCATCTCCAAGCCCTCCATTGCTCAGCCCAGCAAGAGATACAGGATGGAAACAGATGCCTCTGCTCACTGCCCCCAGAGGCCACCTGCCCCTCCCACCTTGCTCACAGCCAAGGCCCACCAGCTTGCCTGACTCCCAATCCCTACCCAACCAGTCCCCTCCCAGCCTTGGCTCTAGCCTTACTGGCTCTTTTGCTGCAGGTCAATGGTGGTGGGGAAGGGAGAAAATGACCCCCCGGCAGCACCTAGAGGCAAACATGGGATTCCCCTCCCTCCCCCCTGTGACAGCAGCCTCTGACCCCAGCCTACCTGTTAATGACAGCCTGGTCCTCTGGCAGCCGGAAGACCCGAGGTTTGGGGTTCCCTTCCTGAGGCTGTGGGGTGACACTCCCCACTTCCACGAAGCCAAATCCCAGCTTGGCGAGCCCATCCACGGCTTCCCCGTGCTTGTCAAAGCCGGCTGCCAGGCCCACCGGGTTCCGGAACCTCCGTCCCAGGACGCACACCTCCTGGGAGAGCAAGTGAGGCCTCGTGACCCCCCACACAGCACGCAGTGACTGGCCCGGGGCCCGGCTGAGGGCCAGTCATGAGAGCAGCCCAGATAGGTTATTGGGCGTGTGTGCGGGGGAACCATCCACAGCCCGCATGAGAACATGGGTCCCTCGCTCACTTGGTCTAGCCCAGCCTCCCGCAGGCTGCCAGGGCCCTTCCCCACACTCAGCACGGGCAGAGCCCCACAACAGCCAGCCCCCTCCCCCACAGAGACTGGCTCCAGTTCCAGCCCCCGGGGGTGCAGCTGGCACAGCAGGGGCAGCTCAGCTCCCAGGGACATCCCCTTCCCTAGGGCCACTGGGGCATCCCACCAGCTCCGACGTGGGGTGAGTTCCGGGGCCAGGCGCACGCCCCACATATCCACCCATCGAGCGTCAGGGCCGCCCCGCAGGGGGGCTCAGCCCGTGCAGATCGTGTCCCCACAGGATGGGACGCACCAGCATGGCCGAGTCGCGCTGGGCCACGCGGGGCAGGACCCCCAGGCTGAGCAGGCGGATGGCGAGCACGTGGGCGGTCTCGGGCCCCAGCAGCCACTGCAGCCCCGGCATCAGGCGCTCGGCGTAGAACCGCTCCTCACCCGCGGCCACCAGGTATGAGGCGCAGAGAAGGCCGCCCCCGCCCAGCACCGCCACGGCCTCCCGGAGACGCTGCTGCAAAGCGAGAGCTGCCAGTTACCTT